TATATATATATATATAAAGTGCAAAGTAAATGGGGTCACTCTGTACTTTACACACATTATTTATTTAACTATTCTAAGAAAAAAGTATAAGATTAACCTTTCTGGCTGTAAAGAAACACCAAAATGCTCAGTTCTTACCGAAACACTCTGGTAATGATTTTGGAAAAATTATCATTATGGTTTAATAATATGCGATAGAATTTGGTAAATGTGGTAGAATTTGGTAATTTTATCACGATACCTTAGCCTGACATTAAAACCATTTATTCGGTTAAATTTACTTTTTAGTTTTGTATATTTTACTAAATGCGTGGTAATACATTCTAACTTTTGTATAGTTTCCCATCACAGATTTGAAAGAAAAAAGTTTTCTAATTCATTTTACCTAGTGAGACAATTTAATTAGGAAAAAAAAAGGAAAACAGTTTACAAAAATCACCATCATGTCCTTTTTTTTTATGGATAATTCGAAGTTTCAAATTTAATTCAAAATTGTACCTACGATTTATCGCAAATTTAATGACAGGAATTTTCAATTAAAATAAAAACGAGTTATTTTTATTCCTCAAAGTTAAGTTTTTTCCATTTAATAAATAATTTAGTTTTAAAATACTTGTTTTTTTGTCGGTTGATAAAAAATTACTAACCGAAAAATAGTGATAACTAATACTGAAAATTACTAAGTAAAGTCTTTTTAAGTAATTACTAACTCTATAAAGTATTTCTTAGAATAAAAATAAGAAAATTCCCTGTATTCACTTTCTCAGATATTACAATTTTGTAATATTGATAATTCACTACGTTGGTTTCTTCAATTAAGAGATCAATTACATTGAATTTGATTATACGCTGTAAATTGGGCTAAGCGTTTTTTTTTAAAAATTATTTCTATGATTTCACACGGAAAAATCAGATATTGTCAAATGATGAATAACATGCTATGTGATAGTTTCATTTTCTGTCTATTAATAAACTGAAACTAGCACAGCATTATATTTAATATATCTTTAATAATATTCATATATATAATAATATATAATAATATTCACATATTTGTATAAAGTCTTACGTGTATAGTAATGAATTAATTTTAAAAGAAAAAAAATTGCCAAGTAAAAAGTAAATTACTTTTTTAAATCTTCAATTTTGATTATTAACATTATTACGGTGTAATTAGTATAAAAATTATTTTGATTTTTATAAACTTTAGCAGGAATAAAAATGATAAACCTGAAAGTATGAAATTCTCAATTGTAATTTAAGCATTTCTTTAAACTAATTTACTTTTATTTCACACTTAGCGAAAAATGCAAAACTGAAAAAGTAAATTTAAAATAATAATAATAATAGTAATTAAATAATAATATACTAAAATAACAATAATAACTAAGGTATCATGATTAAGTGGCCAGATTTTACCACATTTATCAAATTTTATAACATTTTAAAACCATATTTTATAGTTAATTTTAACAAAATCATTACCTAAGAGCTTCATTAAAATTAAAAGTTCATGAAAAAAGTTACTTTTTACCCTTAGCAGCTTCTATTGCTTCTTAGTCTTAAAATTGATATAGTTAAATTATTATTAGTGATATAAAAATAAATTTGAAAAGTTGAATAAAAATCATATTATTTCAATTATTTAATTCATTCTATTTAATTCAATTCATATTATTTAAAATATTGTCCCGTAAAAACTTTAGAAGCATCAAGTTTCTTATAAATGATATCTGTATTCATAGAATTTATAAATCATCACCATCATTAATCGATGAAATCAAATGTTAAATAGTTTCATTATATTTAAATATGTAAATTATACTTATTGCTTATAAATCACGATTTAACTGTAAAGTAAATATGAATAACATCATTGATAACATTTAAAAATAAGTTATGGTGTTCAGAAAAAAACTATATCGTTCGAAAACTCAATACTCAACTATATATTTAAGTAGAAAGCAAAATGTAACTTTATCTTCAGAACAAATAATTGATTCTGAGCCGTGGTGACTCAGGGGATAGAGGGTTCGCCTTCCAGTGATTTGTACCGAATTCGAATCTCAGAGATGGCTAGTCAATAAGAATTCTGCTGACGTAAAATATTCCAAGTGGTAGACAGATCGTGGGTTAGAGTCCCCTTGCCATCAGGCTAACCGTGGGAGGTTTTCGTGGTTTTCCTCTTGATATAACGCAAATGCTGGTTAGTTCCATCAAAAGTCCCCTACGAAGGTAAATTTCTCTCAATACTTGATCCAAGAGTTCCCTTGTCTTCTAGATTGGGTTCAAAATTACAAGGCTACAGACTTGAACATTAGTAGTCGTATACACAAGAATTGGGTCGGCTGTTCAACGATGATTATAAAGTAAAATAATTGATTCTTTATTTAAACTTTTTGTTTCCAAAATAACTCTATTGACCTTGTATAATAGCTATAAAATTAAAAAAAATGTTCGTTATTTTTTTTTTTTATTCAATTTGTGAACAACTAAAAAGAAAAGTATTTCCAAAACTGCCTGAATGGTAAAATTTATCATGATTCTGGCTCAGTGGTAAAACCAAACATTTCCACAATTTTTACGGAAATGCTTTGGGAATGACTTAAGTAAAATTTACAATAAAATATAATTTAACGATATGCCATACAAATAAGAAAACATGGTAACATTTTGAAATTTATCATGATACATTAGAGTATGGTATAAGTAATTTTGTAAACCAGATTTTCCGGAAAACCGCTACCATATACATGATTTAAATACTATATATTTTCATTTCATTACCAGAATTATGTTTTTACTTCTTTTCTACCAAAAATGACTTTACCGTACAGTACGGTAATTTTACCAGATTTTTTTGTCTGTCAAGCACATTACAATGCGTTTGACAGCATTACAATGCTATAAGAATATTTAAGATATCATAAATGATGCAAATCAAATTTATCAGAGGTTTTTGATTTGTAATAATACTAGTACGAAAATAATTTTACTCTGAATATCAATCATAATTACATTTTATTTTTTGCGGTAAAATTTGAAGAAGAATTTTTTAAAATTTATATCAATAAATATGAATTACGTGAACTGATAGTAAATAAAAATAAATAAATATTTAGCGTAATGAGCTTAACAACTATAAGTGATAAGATATATAAACATCGGCTATGTAGACTGATTGCAAATAAGAATTTAAAAAAATATGTAATGAAAACATCATCAGCTGTGAGCGATGTAAAAATATGTCTTATACCTACAAAATATTCACGAGTCTTATATAGCATAAAAATTTTGATCGTAATTTCATTTTGCTAAACAGTATAATTATTTATTTATTTATTTTTTGTTGTGAACATGACATAAGTTTAAAGCTTACAATAAAGTCCCCTGTTTAATTTTGTGGACAGTCCCTCAGTCAAGCTGTGTATTGCAGGGAAGGCATTTTATAGGGTTGTTTCCCGGTGTGTTTCAATGAGATCGTAGCTTGAAAAGTAGTATGTTTTCCCATACGATTTCCGAAATTTCCTTTTCTTCTCATCTTGTTTGCTTATCCCCTCTTCTTTCTCTCTCCCCCTTCTCCCCTCTCACTTCAAGAGAAGAAATCGTTTTGTTGTCCCTCACGATGAGCCGAGCTGCAATAATTTTTAATTTTTAAGAACCATTTGCACGTTTTGCGAGCAAGAAATCACTTTATTGTTTCGAACTTTTTTATTCTTTCAATAGAGAATAATTGAAAGAATTGTTTTCCTCGTAAAGACATCAATATGTTTTTGTTTTATTTCTAATAAAATTCCATTAATCTGTACTATAATAGTAGTGCACAATTTCCTTAAAAATTCAAGAACTTAATGATTTATTAAAAAAGTATAGTTCAGTTTCTTTTCTTAAAAAAAAAAAGAAGAAAAAAAAAAGATTAAATACTCTTAAAAGGAAATCACATTCACCATATACCTCGTTTGGTGATTCCTCCCCCTACTTTTGCAGCTTAATTATCGAAAATATATTATTTTATTTCATTGAAAACTTAATATTCGATTTTTTTTTTTGCATTCCCACTCACTCACTATGTGCGCTTTTAATTGTTTACAAACATATTTATTAATAAATAATTTAAAATGATACATAATTATATTCTTTTACTAAAAGAAGATAATTACTCCTTTATTTAAGTAACAGAACATATTAGTGTATCATTTTGCGGTAACTTGTTAATAAATATTATTACACACCATATACACAACTTACTAGTAACACATAGCACACTTCAAAAAATAAATAAGTAAATAAATAAAGTAAAGTAAAAAGTGAATAAATACGGAAAAAAAGTA